CTATGTCTCCTTAGAAAAATTATTTTCTCCTGCACAAGGACATTATAATTATCACAATGATAAATTGAACATTGATACATACAATACTCTTCTTTAATACTCTCTGTTTTCCCTGGATCCAGGATTCAATCATGAGCATGGTAAGTTTGGGACGCCTATTAGACATCCATGTGGATATATCAAGAAAATAGAACATGTGTCTGGAATTCAGAAATAGGTTGTATTTTGAAATGAGAAAGTGAACTAATTACTATAGAAATATGGTTGGACTGTGTATCCATTTGAGGTTGATGGTTATAACTTTCAAATGAAATCAGTAGGCCCAGTTGTGATTTTCTCTAGCAATATTCAGCTGAGGTAGTAGAAACACAGTGAAAGTAGACAGCTGGGTTTAACCTTGGTTAGGAAAGTCAGTTAGGGTGGACAGACACAAGGAAGGTGATGGGGTTTATAATGGAGTCATGGTAATGTTGGAGCGCCGACTCTATTCTAGATAAGAAGGGAAGCAAAGAGAGAAGGGGACAGATGTTCTAAAAGTCTATCACACAAAACCAAAATATTATTACTTAATAAATACTAAATACTTGTCTTTTTAATATTTGCTTCTGGGGGAAAGGCCTCCCTGTACCTTTCCTAAGAAAAAAATCGCAACAACCAGTCATTATCATTAACAAATATTTATCAAGTGTTTACTATGCAGAGAAAACTGTGCCTGGTGAAAGGATACAAATAGTAAAACCCACCTCCTAGAGGCGGAACTAAAAGGGATCTGAGAAATCACTGCCCACTACCCTCAGCGTACAAAGGGAGCAGCCCAGGTAAAATAACTTATCCAAAATCACGAAGCTTGTCACTGGCAGAGCCAAGATGAGAATCCAGGTCTCTGAACTTCTCTAGTCCAGCATTATCTCACTCAGCCTCCAAAATAAGGACATTAGAAAATTTCTGGATGTACAAATTCACTTTGGGAGATGATACTTGGAGTGGGGAAGTTTCCTACTTTCCCCTTAAGAACTGGAATTTTCTGTGATAGGCATGTACTACTTTAATAATAAATATAGCCCGGTTGGTGTTGCTCAGTGGTTAAGCATCGACCTGTGAACTTGGAGGTCACGGTTCAATTCCCGGTCAGGGCACATGCCCAGGTTGTAGGCTTGATCTCCAGTGTGAGGTGTGCAGGAGGAAGCTGATAAATGGTTCTCTCATCATTGATGTTTCTATCTCTCCTCTCCCCTCCTCTCTGAAATCAATAAAAATGTTTTTAAATAATAATAAACATAATAGAACAATTATAACAAAGTTAATTAAAGAAAAAAGCAGACAAAATTTTGTGTGTAGCAACCATAACTGAACACCTTCAACTTTTTATCATCAGTTATTTTTTTAATCCTCATCCGACGACATGTATACAGTGGGGCCTTGACTTACAAGTTTAATTCGTTCCAAGACCGAGCTCGTTAAGGAGCTCGTTAACTCAAATTACTCTATCAACTCAATGCAAAAAATTGGCCGAGAGACAGCTGGTATCTCAAAAAACTCGTTAGTCGGGACACTCGTAAGTCAAGGCCCCACTGTATTGATTTTTTAAAAATATATTTTTTATTGATTTCAGAGAGGGAGAGATAGAAATATCAATGATGAAAGAATCATTGATCAGCTGCCTCCTGCATGCCCCACACTGGGGATCAAGCCCGCAACTTGGACATGTGCCCTGACAAGGAATCGAACTGTGACTGGGCTTGATTTTTGAGAGTAACATTGATCAGTTGCCTTCCATAGGCACCACGACAGAGATTACCAGCAACTTCTCGGTGTACGGAACACGGCTCCAACCAACTGACCCACCCAGCCAGGGCTATTATCAATTATTTTAAAACTCAAGGCATGTTACCATATTTGACAATGTAAAATACAACACTATTTAACAACTGTGTGTAAATGAAGCCATTGGTTGGATAATACCAAAATCGCTGTGAATCTTTTCCTTTCTTTTTTGTTTGTTAATCCTCACCCGAGGATATTTTTTCCATTAATTTTTTTAGAGAGTGGGAGGGAGGAAGGAAAGGGGAAAAAGAGAAACACTGATGTGAGAAAGACACAATAATTGGTTGCCTCCCGCATGTACCCTGACTGGGGCCGAGGAATGAACCTGCAACCTAGGTATATGCCCTTGACCTGGAATCAAGCCTGTGACCTTTTGGTCTGTGGGCCAACGCTCTGTCCACTGAGTCACATCAGACAGGGCTGTGAATCTTTTCTATACTCTCAGGATATAAATGCAAAAATTCCATTGCTATGGCACAAAAGCAAGGTAAAAATGGATTATTCTATTGTAAATCATATTCAAATGCTTGTCTTCCTTATTTCAAGGGCTTATTTTATAAGGTTTTCTACTCTCTATTTGGCCTACCATAAATTGCATCCCTAGGATCTATGAAAACAGTCTTTGCAACTCTGTTTTCCTTGGAAGAGCCTGTATGAAATGTCTTTTCCCTACGATTCACAAGATGTGGGAAAGGTTAGCCATTATTAAGGTGGTAATTCTAGTGGATTAAAATTTTAAAGTAGCTTATTTCAGTTCCTTGGGATAATTTCTGACTTTGCCTCCAAGTAGAATCCCTAAAATAGACTAATTGGCACAGAAAGAAAACACCATCCAAACAGTAAGCACTTCACGGGAAAGAGGCTTGCTTATTGGTTTTAACAAAAGGGGAAAGAAGAGAGGAGCACCCACTGCCCAGCTGCCTATTCTTCTCCCCTCCACGCCACTCCAAGTAACATGAGCAAGGCAGTCTGGCTTGGGATCTGCAGACAGGCAGGCACAGGATATGATGCTAAATCTTTGTTCAGTGATTTGGCTGTGCTGGGCTCCCATTTTCTGGATTAGCTAGGCTTGTTCTGACTGCAAGTCATCTCAGTTTAACCTGGTGTCAAATGATCATTTAAACAAGTAAGGTTGTGACTGTAGTGGTTCCTATATCAACCAGTGGCTCTGCTCTTAAGGAGCAAGGGCTGGCAACCCAAGGCCAGCAGGCCAAATCGAAAATAAAAGTTGTGACAGAAACCGCTTGACCTGCAAAGCCTAAATGTTACTCTTTGCTAACTGGTCTTCTGAAACAGTATAGGATCGTACTGGACTCCATCGTGACCAGAAGAACTCCATCTTAGAGGCCGGACTATGGCTTTGGGCTTTCAGTAAAAGTCCGTAGTTAAAGGAACTTAACCACATTCTTAAAGGAAAGAATGTATGATGATGACATCCTTTCCAGAAACATGTTCTGCTAGAGTTGTTTTGTCCATTTAATGGTAACCGGAATATTTGTGCAAGCATTATTTTACAGGCCCTACGACCACCCTGGGATCAACCATGGCCTGACGACGATGGTAGGAGGGCGATGAACTGCATCCTCATTCCCAAGCCCTACACACCTGCCAAGGCCGCTCTACAAGACACCCACAAGGACCCCTTGGGGAGCTCGACTTCCCTCTGCTGGTTGACTCCCTTGTGCACAAGGTCTTTTTCTTTTTTTTTGCTAATCCTCACCTGAGGATGTTTTCCATTGATGTCTTAATAGAGTGTGGAAGGCAAGGAGGAGAGAGAAAGGGAGGGAGGAGAGAGAAGGCGCCCCAACCAGGGCCGGAAATCGAACCCGAGGCCGTTCAGTGTGCCAGTTGACGCTCTAACACTGAATCACTCGGCCAGGGCTTCACAAGCTCTTTCCAATAAACTCTGCTTGATCTGTACTGAGTTCCCTGCTCACTTCTGTGACACTGAGATGGAGAACCTGGCATTCTAGGTCCCTAACACTTCCTTCCCTCGCCCACATAAAAGACCCTTCCTGCTGCACCTCTCCCCTTTCCCAGAGCTCGCCTCCCACCTGTTCTCAGTCACGGGCTTTGCTCCACGCGCTGCCTGCGGGTCCCCTGAACGAGCCGTGCACTGGCTACTCTCCGCTGTGAACGCCGAGCCACCTCCAAACGGTCCTTCGAAGAGCCGCTCAGGCATCTGCTCCTCCCAGCTAGTCCCCCCTCTACCGGACAGCATGACCTACACACACTGTAATGTTTAAGTCAACCTCTTTCCTAGTTCTTTAATGGCACAAGTTGTTCCTTCTGTTCCTGACTCCTATTCCTTAACCAGTGGGTGACATATAGTAAATGTCTGACACTTGTTGGTTCAGTTCCTAAACAAATTCTTGCAGGGCATCAAATCGCTTGTGGCTCTGGAGTTACTTAGGCTGGAAATGTAACCTGGGGTGGCGAGGGCGACGGACGATTCAAACACCGCCTGTTCCGGAGAAGCGGCTCCCACGGGCGACCCCTCCCTTCTCGGAGTTCCTCTCGCCCAGTGACCGCCTCCTTAAACTGTGGCAGATTTGAGCCATAATCCCAGAGAGCAGAGAGGTCCAATTTTACCCCCATCTGTGCACGCATGTCTCGTATCTACGGAGTGACTTCCTCCGGCTCCGAGCCTGCGTTTCAGACCGCCCGTCTTGGGAGACTCCGCGTCACGGGGCCTGGCTCCAGGTGCACAGGCAGGCGGATGCACAGGTGGGTTGCACAGGCGGATGCACAGGTGGGGTGGGGTACACAGGTGGGCGGGTGCACAGGTGGGCGTGTGCAAAGGTGGGGTGGGGTACACAGGTGGCGGGACTCTAGGCCCAGTGCGTCCCCGGCCCCGAGCCGCACTCCCGACCTTCCCGGCTTCCGGCCTCCCTCATCCCCCAGTCCTCCCTGTCCACTTTTCCTCTCGCTCGCACCCAAACGACTCTCACCTCCGTCCCAGACTCCGCCCTGTGGAAGTCACTACACATCGCCCCGAATGCTCGGCGAACCAGGCACTCAACTTTCCCGCCACCAGCGCCATTTACGGCGGCGCCAGTCAGGCGCGTTGACCTGTTGACCCGGACGCGAACGTGCGCGCTGCGCCCGCCCTCGGCCGGGAGGAAGTGGATATGCGCAGGAGGCGGGTGTGCGCAGAAGTGGGCATGCGCAGGAGGCGGGGCTATACGTGCGCGAGAGAGCGTGGGGTCGGCGTCAGACACTATTGCGTGAGACACCATTGCGACGGAGACCGAGGCGCGGCGGGTGACTACTTTCTTAAACTTCATTTCGTTTTTACTAGGTAAAATTAACAGCGTGTACTTTTTATTATTTTTTACTACTAACAAACCATTTACCGAGTAAACAGGCATTTTGGGTCTATTTTTGGGTTAAAAGCCTCCAGCTGGCTGCGTAAGTGATTCGTAGTGAATTCTGAGGGGAAAAAAACGCTAAATTTAAAAGAACTTTAAAAATATAGCGGGCCTGCATATTTATCCAGTTCTTTTGGAGATAGAATTTTAGTACTATTGGTTACCAAGTGTTTATTCGTTAAGATAGACATTAAGTAGATAGACACATAGACGGACATGGAGTATTTCGTGCACGTGAGGCCTTGCGCCACGTTCTGGGAATACAACAGAGTAAGAGCCGTGCCTGAACGGAGTTTACAACCATTTGCTTTACCGGAATGTGTTTTTACTTTACAACGGCTGTATCGGTTGTCTTAGTCTTACATTTGTCGGCGTGTAATTAAAAAATAATGCTTAGGCCCGAGCCGGCTTGGCTCATGGCGCGGCCTGCGGGCTGAAAGGTCCGGGTTGGCTTCCGGCCTAGGGCGTGTACCTCGGCTGCAGGCTCCTCCCCAGCCCCGGCCCTGGCCCGGCGCGCCGGAGGCAACCTTCCGTGCATTTCTCTCACATCGGTATTTCTCTTTCCCTCTCTCTTCCACTTGCTCTAAAAATCAATGGGAAAATATCCTCGGGTGAGGATTTAAAAAAAAAAATGTTTATAATGGTACTGATCGTTAACACAGTGCTTGGTATCTGCCAGGCAAGGGCCTAACTACTTTATGTATAATAACCCGTTGCGCCCACACCTTATGAGGCAGGTACTTTTTATCCCCGTTTTATGAAGGAGGAAATGGGGTGCAACTTTGGCCCACATTACTCTGTTGACCAGATTGTAGTGAGTCAACGCATTAATGTGAAATGAATACGGACGGTTCCTCAAAACAAAACCACTTGGTTATGAAGGAAGGAGGTAACATCTAGAAAAATACAGGGTTGGCAAAAAAGTTTATAGTTGTGAGTACACGAAACAGTTTATTCTTGTGCTATTATTTATTAATGAAGCTATTAACCTGCATGTCTTCTTCCCTTTAGAACAACTGCAAACCTACTTTTGCCCACCTCTGTATAGGATGAGGGAAGAGTCTTTTAAGAAGGCAGAGCCTGGGGCATGTTTAAATGCTGGTAGGCATAGAGACTTAAGGGTTAAAAACACCTTCTGGCCTTAGCCAGTTTGGGTCAGTGGATAGAACATCGGCCTGCAGACTGAAGGGTCCCGGGTTCGATTCTGGTCAAGGGCACGTACTTCGGTTGCAGGCCCGATCCCCAGTAGGGGGCATGCAGGAGGCAGCCAATCAATGATTCTCTCTCATCATTGATATTTCTGTCTCTCCCTTTCCCTTCTTCTCTGAAATCAATAAGAATATATTAAAAAACAAACAAACACCATCTGAGCAGCATACTTGGAGTCAGGATCTGAAAAGGAAGGAGTGTATAGGTATAAAAATCAGCTTTAGATAGGGGAGGGTGTCTTGTCCACCCACTAGCAGAGACAAGGAGTCAAGAATAGCTGCAGCCCTAGCTGGTTTGGCTTAGAGGATAGAGTGCCCGCCTGCGGACTGAAAGGTCCCAGGTTCAGTTCCAGTCAAGGGCACATGTCTGGGTTGTGGGCTCCATCCCCAGTGAGGGGCATGCAGGAGGCAGCCAATCAGTGATTCTCATCATTGATGTTTCCCTCTTCCTTTCTCTCTGAAATCAACAAAAAATATATTTTAAAAAAAGAAAAAGAAGCCCTGGCTGGAATGGCTCAGTGGACAGAGCATCGACCTGTGAACTGAAGGGTCCTGGGTTCGATTCCAGTCACGGGCACATGCCCAGATTGCGGGCTCGATCCCCCGTGGGGGCGTGCAGGAGGCAGCCAATGATTCTCTCTCACCATTGATGTTTCTCTCTCTCTCTTCCTCTCCCTTCCTCTCTGAAATCGATAAAAAGATATTTTTAAAAAAAAAAAAGAATGGGTGCAGATGCAGTTAAGTTTGGGGGTAGGTAGCTCAGAAAGGCTGAGGAGGTTTTAATCTGAGGGCTTACGTTTCTTTCTCTGAAGAAGAAAGCAAGATAGTAGAAATCCAAAACTTAAGTTAAAGTCAAGTAATCTATACGAATGTTACCCATCTATAGGCTCTGCTAAAAATTTTCCTTAAAAATGGTTCTTGATCCATTCTAGTACATGGAACAGTGGGTTTCATAAAACTATAGAGCAGTGGTTCTCAACCTTCTGGCCCTTTACAGTTCCTCATGTTGTGACCCAACCATAAAATTATTTTTGTTGCTACTTCATAACTGTAATGTTGCTACTGCTATGAATCGTAATGTAAACATCTGATATGCAGGATGGTCTTAGGCGACCCCTGTGAAAGGGTCATTTGACCGCCAAAGGGGTCGCGACCCACAGGTTGAGAACCACTGCTATAGAGTATGGCAGTAATTATTTTAATTAAGGATATTTTCCTGCAGCACTCATTGTCTGTAATCACATTTATTTTTTTTTTTAATATATTTTATTGATTTTTTACAGAGAAGAAGGAAGAGGGACAGAGAGTTAGAAACATCGATGAGAGAGATCGATCAGCTGCCTCCTGCACACCCCCCACCGGGGATGTGCCTGCACCCAAGGTACATGCCCTTGACCGGAATCGAACCTGGGACCCTTGAGTCCGCAGGCCGACGCTCTATCCACTGAGCCAAACCGGTTCGGCTGTCTGTAATCACATTTAATACTTAGCATATATTAGCACTCTTTTTCTCATTGCACAGAGCTTTTTTTTCCCCTGAGTTACAGTCTTCTTGAATTCCAAGATGAATTTTCTGAACTCACCTTGGACTTTGATGTCAAATGCAGCTAGAATTTTCATCCTGGTTCTGTTACTTATCACCATGGTACATGTTACTTTATCACCCTGGACCTTAGTTAACAAAGTGCTGTAATGGCTAAATGAAAAAATGTACTTAAAACAGCTAGCACAACACCTAGCACAAAATATGGATACCCTTTCTAATTTCCTTTATTGCTTAGATCATCACTTAACATAGTGCCAAAGATTCAATATCTACTCAGTATATATCTCCTGTTTACTATAATGGCAGTGATTAGGGCCAGATTAAGAGATGAGCCCATCAGGTAGTTATCCAGGGTAGCTAACCATAAAGGGTGCTGAAACTTCTCTACATACTAAAATATTCTGAGAATATGAGATGGGGAAAAAACTGTTTATTGCAATTCCTTCCGAGGAGAATATGGTTAGGAAGGAAAAGCCCTTGGAAAGGGGGGGAAAGGTCAGTGGATTGTGATGGAAGGCAGAGTGGACAAGCTGGCACAGTCCCACCATCAACACTCACCTACTCTTCCTTCTCCCCACTCACTCCCACACATAGAAGCAGTATTCTGAATCTAAAGAAAAAAATTTTAAATGTGCCAAATTGTATTATTTGCTCCCCCAAGCAAGTCCATAAATGTTAATCCAATTCTGATGGTATTGAGATGGTGATGGCTTAAGAGCTAAAATCCTTTTAGAACTGGGTAGGGTCCTTCCTGGATTTCCTGTCTTAGAAAAGTGAAGTCTTTTTTTGTTTGTTTTTGATACAAGGTGTCAGTTGTTTGTATAGTAAACAAAGTCATGCCTCTACTGCCCATTATAAAAGATTTGGGTTTCCTGACCTGGTTTCCCCTGGGGTAATGCCATCCACTTCACCTGCAAGCGTTCCCTTACCCTTTTCCCATTGCCCTGTGGTTGCAGGGACTCCAGTAACCAGTGCAAGGAAATATTGATGTTCTGGATGTTGCTATTGCTATGAGTAAGGCTAACTTGTCCACTTGCAGGCTCTTTACAGTTCTTGATAACCCACACTAAACAGTCTAAAACAGGATAAATTAAACATTTTGCGTGAACAAAGCAGAAGCTCCAAGAAGCATAGATGTGACTATAATTGAGACAGACAGGAAGACTTTTTTTTTAAATTGTGGCAAAATAGATGTACGTGCCTCTCATTCTGACCTAAAAACTTTTTATGCCTTGTTAAAATTTCTTGATAATGGTTTGGATCTAAATTTTATGATTTGAACTAGAAATTTAAAGCTGATAACAATAATGTCCTTCTGGGATTCTAAAAGGCAAGAATTTAAACTAGTAGCATCGGCCATTACTAGCAGAACAAACTTTTCTGTCATGAAAAAGCTTTATGTAGAGATAACTATTTTTCACCCATCTATTCTTTTAAAAGCCTAGGGAATAGCATGAGCTTATGAAATATGTCTTGTGGGCAATACTAATGTTGCTCATTATATAAATTAGAGTATTTTTGGTTGCAAATCACAAAACATCCAGCTCTTACTGATTTAAGTAATAAATGGAATTTATTGGATCAGACAGCTGGAAGTTCAGAGGTAAGACAGCTTAAAGGTTAGTTTAATTGAGAGGATCAATTACACAGGTACCTAGTTTCTTTTTTCTCTAGACAGCTTCTTATTTTTTACTGTTCCCCTCATGGGACTATGTGTCCATACTTGAAACATTAAACAATCCAGGAATAACTGGGCTGGTTAGCTGAAGCCTGAGCCACATTCTCAACCTTAGGCACAGGGGTTGGTGTATGTTTTTTCAAAGGTTGTAGGCTTTGTGGAAAGGAGTGGATAACAGGAAATGACAGTGAGAACAACAAAATAAGAGTAGTTGGGGGAAGTAGGGTAGATGTTGGGGAGGCAACCTCTACTTCATTATATCCTCCACAATGAGGATCCATATATGCAAAGCCACATATCTAGGTCACCCTCCTCTTCCATGCCATGCACTTCTATACAAAGTAAATCTTTCCTCACATATAAAGAATCAGTCTCTTAGGAAGCAGGCTTTACAATTGAATAGCTGCTCTGTACTAAATGAGTTTCTCAGTCCTCACCCTGTTCCTAATGAAGATTATGTGCTGGTGGAACTAGGCCAGTCCTTAGGCACACCTGTTTCCATGGGCCATCTTGCACAACATGGTTTTGAAAGTTTTAATGCTCTAGAGCAGTGGTTGGCAAATTGCGGGTCGCGAGACACATGCGGCTCTTTGGCCCCTTGAGTGCGGCTCTTCCACAAAATACCGACTTCTGCGCTTGGGCCACGAAGTTTCAATCGCACTGTACGTGCACACCCACACGTATTTTGTGGAAGAGCCACACTCAAGGGGCCAAAGAGCCGCATGTGGCTCACGAGCCGCAGTTTGCCGACCACGGCTCTAGAGACATCACTTCTCTTTTAAAAGAATGTATGAGGCACTCATAAATTGCTGGTAGAAATGCAAACATGTTCAGTCATTTTGGAGGGGAATTTGGCAATCTCTAACAAAACTTTACATTTATTAACTTTTTGATACATCAGTCCTACTTCTAGGAATTAATCCTAAATCATGCCTCCAATTCCACTCTTAGGTATATGCACATGAAATCCATTTAAATGGGTTTTAAATGTGTTCCTGGGTGTGCCTCTAACTTCCATGAGATAGTAGCCTCCGTTTCTTCCTCTGTGAAGTGGGGAAATTGGAGTATATAATAGCTTCCGCTTGAGAGTCATATTCCAGACACTATGGTTATTGTTCTATGTATATGATTTCCAACTCTTCCCTGCAAGGTATTTACCCTCCTCTTATAGGGAGTACTTTGAGGACCTGAGAGGTTTAGTGATTATGCAGTCCTCTAGCTTGTAAGTACCCAGGTCTATCTAACTGTAAATTCTTCAGTCTTCCTAACACAGTTGCTTCCAGAAGATGCAAAGATCTAAGGCCTTTTACAACTATAGATTCTGTGATTCTTAACTCTTTTTTAAAAATTAAATGTATTGGGTTAACATGGGTTAATAACATTATATACATTTTAGGTGTACAATTTTATAATCTATCATCTGTATGTTCTGTTGTGTGCTCACCCCCCAAAGTCTAGTCTCCTTCTGTTACCATATATTTGACCCCTTGTGATTTTTTTTTTACTTTTAAGCAAGAAGAGAGTCCTCTTTCCGTGCCTAGCACAGCCATGGCTCGTGGTCCCAAGAAGCACCTGAAGCGTGTAGCAGCTCCAAAGCATTGGATGCTGGATAAACTGACCGGGGTATTTGCTCCTCGTCCATCTACCGGTCCCCACAAGCTGAGAGAATGTCTCCCTCTCATCATTTTCCTAAGAAACAGACTTAAGTATGCCCTAACAGGAGATGAAGTAAAGAAGATCTGCATGCAGCGGTTCATTAAGATCGATGGCAAGGTCCGAACCGATATAACCTACCCTGCTGGCTTTATGGATGTCATCAGCATTGATAAGACAGGAGAGAATTTCCGTCTGGTCTATGACACCAAGGGTCGCTTTGCTGTTCATCGTATAACACCTGAGGAGGCCAAGTACAAGCTGTGCAAAGTGCGGAAGATCTTTGTGGGCACCAAGGGAATCCCTCATCTGGTGACCCATGATGCTCCTACCATCCGCTACCCTGATCCCCTCATCAAGGTGAACGACACCATTCAGATTGATTTGGAATCTGGCAAAATTACCGGTTTCATCAAGTTTGACACAGGTAACCTGTGTATGATCACCGGAGGTGCCAACCTGGGAAGAATTGGTGTGATCACCAACAGAGAGAAACACCCTGGTTCTTTTGACGTAGTTCATGTCAAAGATACCAATGGCAATAGCTTTGCCACCCGGCTCTCCAATATTTTTGTTATCGGCAAAGGCAACAAAACATGGATTTCCCTTCCCCGTGGAAAGGGTATTCGCCTCACCATTGCTGAAGAGAGCGACAAGAGACTGGTGGCCAAACAGTTGGTGAAATGAGCTGAGGTGACATGATTAGAAGAGTGTTTGTACTTAATTAAAGATAATGCAGCATGGGGGGGAGAGGGGGGGAGATGGGGAAAATGGACACTCCCACTAAGATGCTAATAATTCCTAACCTAAATTTCATTCCCTTTTCCTATGGGACTTAACAGCTAAATGAGTATGACAGTCCTTTACCCTAAAGTCATTCTCACTTCAACCTCCTCCTTTTTTTATTTTTTATTTTTTTTTTTAAATATATTTTATTGATTTCTTACAGAGAGGAAGGGAGAGAGATAGAGAGTCAGAAACATCGATGAGAGAGAAACATCGATCAGCTGCCTCCTGCACATCTCCCACTGGGGATGTGCCCGCAACCCAGGTACATGCCCTTGACCGGAATCGAACCGGGACCTTTCAGTCCGCAAGCCGACGCTCTATCCACTGAGCCAAACCGGTTTCGGCCCTCCTCCTTTTTTTAGATACCCGAGTTAGTTCATTGTACTTTTCAGTTTGTAACCAGCTATCTGCTCCTGAAAAGCTCTTATTTCATTTATTTGTTTATTCCCTTTTAGTCACATTTCTTACTTCCTATCTCATAGCTGCATGGGCAATTACTCTGATGTATTTTCAGCATATATTTGAATTTGTAGGTTTCTAGCAAATTAAGTAGTTTTGTTTTGACTTTATGTAATTGTAATTAAAATGCAAATAAAGATTTTCGTTAAAGGTAATGTATTAATATTGGTTTATGAAATGTAACAAATACACCATACCACTGTAGGATGTTTAGTAATTGGTGAAACTGATGCCAGGTACATGACAGCTCTGTACTATCTTAATTTTTCTGTAAATGTAAAATTACTTTAAAAAATAAAGCCTATTAAAAAATGTATGTGTTCAAGGATGTTCATGGATAAAAAGATGCTATTTAAACTGGTAATTTAATGTATTTTATCACCTTTTATATTCAAACTAAAATGAGGGGTAAAGTGTGACAAATACCTCAATATATACATTATTATTTTTTAAAATTCCAATAACATTAAAAGACTAAAATATTCTATATAAATTATAAGTTCTCATAATCTATATATTTTTTAACTACTGAGGGGCAAAGGAATATTTTTTGCCTTGCTTAAATAAAATATAACTGAATTAGGAAGCTCATTTCCCCCCACTTCAGACTCAAAATTATTTTGTTCCTGGTAGTCTCCACAAGCCTCCTGTCAAGCTGAAATATCTAACTTTTCTTCATTTTTTTATCTTAGCATTTGTAAGGTATAAATAATAGATGAACGCAGGATTTCTGGGGATAGTTGAATAGCTTATGCTCAGTACTAACCTCTTTTTAGATGTCAGTTTCCCTAACTGGTTTGCCTCAGTGGAGAGCATCGGCCTGCAGACTGAAAGGTCCCAGGTTCGATTCCAGTCAAGGGCATGTACCTTCGTTGCGGGCACATCCCCGGTAGGAGGTGTGCAGGAGGCAGCTGATCGATGTTTCTAACTCTCCCTCTCCCTTCCTCTCTGTAAAAAATCAATAAAATATATTTGAAAAAGAAAAGCATAGGAAAACAAGTCAAATTGGGGTTTCAGGCTTCTCTCTGCCTCATAACCACCGCTGGCTCTGCCTCTCTGGGAATGTGGAATGAAATGGGATGGATAAAGTCCCCTCATATCCTCCCCCCCCCCACCCCCCCCTGCTTTCCCTGGCTCTTCTGTCTAATCTACCTTCACAGCTCTAAGTTAAAAGGGACCTGAGTGGTACCATGATCAGGTCCTTCCCCAAAGCAGGAATTCCTTTTAAAGCACTTATGCACTGCCTGACAGTCTGCTTAAGCACCATTGGTGTCAGAAAAACTGCTAGGGCACCCCTCTCCCTTTCGTTTTATTATGTGAAAACAGGCAGAACAAAATGAGCAGGGTAATTCCCCATCCTATCCCTGTCTCTTCCTGTAGCAACCATTGTTAAGGCTCTACGTATTGTTTTAAGAGGGTTTTGTACACGTATTCATATATGTGTAGCAGTCTTCCTTCAACCAGCACCAAATGTGTGTGTGTATGTGTGTGTGTGTGTGTGTTTAAAATACAAATGATAACATAATTCTATGTTAAATGCCATTCTGAGCACTCCCTATGACAGATAATAGTACCTGCATTTGAACTGGAATTTCTGTGGATTTCAAATGGTTTAGTCCTTGTTTTGGCTTCTAGAACATCACAGAATGAGTTGGACTCTTTATTTTTTATTTGTTTTAGAGAGAGAGGAAGGGAGAGGGAAAGAGAGAAACATAGATGTGAGAGCAAAACTGCACCCCCACACCCACTGAGGATTGAGCAAGCAACCTGGGTATGTGTCCCAGCCTGGAATCAACTGGCAGCCTTTTGGTGTACCGAGTGAGCCACACTGTCCAGGGCAACTCTTAAGTGAAATGATGGTTCTGCAAGAATTCCACAACTGTCTTCCCCCACTTGTCCCAGCCTTCTGTCTTCCCCATCACCCATCCTTCACACAATTCATTTCTGGCCAAAATGTTTTGAGCTCCTTTATTTCTCCTGTGGCATTGTAGAATTAAAATAATTATACATGTTTCTTTTTTAAAAAATATTTTTACTGATTTCAGAGAGGAAGGGAGAGAGAGGGAGAAATAGAAACATCAATGATGAGAATAATTGATCGGCTGCCTCCTGCATCCCCCCCCCACCCCCCAAACCGAACATGTACCCTTGACCAGAATCAAACCTGGGACCCTTCAGTCCACAGGCCAATGCTCTATGCACTGAGCCAAACTGGCCAGGGCTATACATGTTTCTTGCCAAATAAAAATGTTAAGAGTAATAAGCTTGCTTTGAGTTAAAGAAAACAAGCTAATGACTTTTGGTGAAAGGTTTATTTGGTTGTTCTTGCTATTAGAGCCTTATCATGCCATTATCTGGCATACATGGTGCTATTACAGCATTGGGCTATAGACTGTTAGTTTCTAAAGACTACTATCTTGGTTATCTGAATTTGTTCTTGTTAATATTCACCCAAGGATATTTTTTCCATTGATTTTTAAAGAGAGTAGAAGGGAGGAATGGGGAGAGAGAGAGAGAGAGAGAGGAGAGGAGAGGAGGGGGAGAGAGGGAGAGAAACATGGATGTGAGAGAGACATATCAATTGCTGCCTCCTACGTGTGCCTCGACCAGGGCCAGGCAACAAACCCTCAACCAAGGTATGTGTACTTGACCAGAAGTCGAACCAGCGACCCTTCGGTGTGAGGTCTGACACACTACCACTGAACACACCTACCAGGTCAGTTATCTGAATTTCACTTGCATAAATTAAAAAATCAGATACTCGTGTGATTTTTTTTTTTTTGCAGCTGGAAATGTAAACTTTAAAAATCAAGATAACTTTTAAAAAAATTTGTAGAGTATGTCTCCTAACATGGAAAAAATGTTTAAATACATTATATTGTGTAGCATGTTTATAGATACAATCAAATTTACTTAGTGAAATGAAAAATAAATGGATTAGGCCCTGGCCAGTTAGCTCAGTTGGTTAGAGTGTTGTCCCAATACCCCAAAGTTGCAAGTTTGATCCCCAATCAGGGCACTTACCAGAAACAACCAATGAATGAATCCATGAGTGGAACAACAGCGTGATGTTTCTCTCTCCCCCTTCCTCTCTCTATAATCAATAAATACAATTTTTAAAAAAGATAAACTGGCCCAGCTAGTGTGGCTCAGTTATTGAGCATCAACCTATGAACCAGGAAGTCCCAGTTTGATTCCTGGCCAGGGCACATGCCCCGGTTGCAGGCTTGATCTTCAGTAAGGGTCGTGTAGGAGACAGTAGATTGATGATTTTCATCATTGATGTTTCTCTCTCCCTGTCTCTTCCTCTCTGAAATCATAAA